AAACTCACGTGGAATTCGCTCGGGAAAAGTCAGTATTGTTCGATATATGGTGTACTGCTAGCAGTGTGACTGACTTTAATCAGCTAAAGGAACTGATTTTATTGGAGGAGTTTAAGAATTGTGTACCCGACCGTGTAGTCGTCTACTTGAATGAACAGAAAGTTACGACTCTCGTTGAAGCTGCTACCTTGGCTGATGAGTTTGTACTGACGCACCGTACTGTGTTTGCCCCTACCCCTTTGCCACGCAAAGTCCTACAACTTAGTCCTAGACCGATATCGGAAAAGGCTACTCCGGTAACCTCGTCTACGGAAACCCGTAGTTATTATTGCCATGAAATTGGTCACCTCATTTCAGTTTGTCCTGCGTTACAACGCAAGAACACTCGTTTAAATGTGAAAAAGGTACTTGTGACAGATTGTGTTCCCGTCTCTGATGCTCCGATATCACCTAACTCTGTGGAACCCTCCTTCCAGCCTTTTGTTTTCCCTGGTTTTGTTTCTCTGGGGAACTTTGATGTTAAGTGTCCCATCACGATATTGCGGGACACTGGTGCTGCTCAGTCCTTCATATTGGACTCTGTGTTAACCTTTGATAACTCGTCCTATGCTGGTTATGACGTACTAGTTCAAGGTATCGAGTTAGGAACAATGAGAGTGCCTCTCCACCGGGTTCATCTACAAACCAATGATTTTTCGGGTGTTGTGAAAGTTGCTGTTCGACCTCGACTCCCTGTTTCGGGTGTATCTTTTATTTTGGGGAATGACATTGCGGGAGGTAAGGTAGTTCCTCTACCTGAGGTAGCGTCAGAACCAGAGAGTGGCTCTGACAACTTTGAAAATGATTTCCCTGATGCATTTCCCGCTTGTGTCCTTACTTGTGCCCAAGCTCGGCAATTCGCAGACATTGACCTGGCTGATTCCTTCATGGCTGATCGAGATGTACCTATTCTGCCCCCGTGTGCTAGTCCCCCACTTGGGAAAGAACCAGCTTTACCTCAAGTTATAGATGATATATGTACTCGAAAGGATCTGGTCGCAGCTCAGGGAGCTGACCCGTCTCTGACGGAGTGTTTTGATTTAACCGTAGAAAAAGCGACCTTAGCAGACCATTCAGTGGCGTACTTTGTTGATCAGGGTCTGTGGATGCGGAAGTGGACACCTCCTCAGACTCCTTTGGATTGGGCTATACTATTTCAGATAGTAGTTCCGTGTACCCATAGAGACCAGGTACTAGCTTTGGCTCATGACCACCCGTGTTCTGGACACTTAGGCATTAGAAAGACGCTCGCTCGTGTACTAAAGTACTTCTATTGGCCTGGTATAAATTTGGAGGTTAAGAAATACTGCCGCTCGTGTCACATTTGTCAGCTGGTAGGGAAGCCAAATCAGGTAATTCCCCCTGCGCCCTTGCGTCCTGTCCCAGCTATCGGGGAACCATTTGGACATGTTATCATCGATTGTGTGGGTCCCTTGCCTAAAACTCACTCTGGGAATAATTATATTTTCACCCTAATGTGTGCCGCTACTCGTTACCCGGAGGCGATACCTATTTGGAGTTTACGTACCAAAGGAGTGGTACGAGCTCTAATTAAGTTTTGTACCACTTTCGGTTTACCGAAGTACGTGCAGTCTGACCAGGGTTCAAATTTCACGTCCCTGTTATTTTCCCAGGTGTTGCAGGAATTGAATATTCGACACCGGGTCTCCAGTGCCTATCACCCGGAGTCTCAGGGTGCTCTTGAGCGGTTTCACCAATCATTTAAAACAATGCTACGGACCTTTTGTTTAGAGGCCGGAAGGGACTGGGACGAGGGAATCCCTCTACTTCTGTTTGCCATTCGAGATACCATACAGGAATCCACCGGGTTCAGCCCAGCTGAGCTCGTGTTTGGACACACCGTGCGCGGACCTTTAAAGGTCCTCCAAGAACAGTGGTTGTCCCCTGATCCGTCCCCTGATCCATCCCCTCAGAATAGGAACGTATCGATGTTTGCTAAGTCGTTACGTGAACGCCTTAGTGCGGCTCGGGAACTGGCCAAGCGTTCGCTATGGTCATCGCAGAAGAAGATGAAGGCTCGGTTCGATGTGAAAGCCAGAGAGCGTACTTT